GTGTACTGCTTGCATCCCAATTGCTGCTACAGCAAGGGAAGCAGCTCCTGGCCCCAACCCGCGCTCGAGTCCTACCTCGGCTCTCAATGGACTGCAAAGGCTGCAAGGGGCGTCGGATCCATATCAGCCATTGCCTGCGCTGCAGCGTCCGCGCGTGAGGAGAGCTCGCAGGCAACAGAGAATTGGTGGTTCCCAGAGGACAGTCAGTGCCAGGTAAAGCAGAAATTAAATTGGGTCTGAACTTATCAAGCCTGGCATTGGATTAAAACTGCCTTCCTCCCTGGCATAGAGAACCGAGTTCAGTCCAGGTGTGTGGTTGTGGCCAAATTCTGGGCAGCTCATGTACCTTTTAAGCTCAATAATGGCACAGCGCTTTCTGATCCCTTTTGGCAGGATATTTGCTCTTGTTAAGTGAATCCCCCCATTTCTTACGTTGGCAGTGTTGTTGACTTGTGAGCCCTTCTATGCTCTCCACCTTGCTTGCAGAGCTTCTGCTCGCACCATTCCCTCTGCTCTGCCAGATTCCTGGCGGTGCTTCCGGCAGCAGTGCTGACTCTCGGCTGTTCCAGCCAGCATGTAGCTCAGTGGAGCTCGTGCTCTGTTTTGCATTTCACCTTTCATTTGGGGATTGCCTGACCAAGTTTTCTGGTGACAATTGCTGCAGAAATTTTCACGAACATGCAAACTAGTATTTTTTTTTTTTCTGCAGGGGTTTTTTGTTACCTCCAGGCAAAGAAAAAATATTCTTTTTAACACCATTTGTGATGGGTTTAAAGGGTGACGCATGGGGGTGCTCTCCAGCCAGAAAGAAATCCCCATTTCTGGTTTGTTTGGTTTTTGTCTCATCTTTGTAGCTTTTGTAAATGTCAAGGGTGAAATTATAATTAACTGGAGCATTGCTTTTAAATTCAGTGAGGCCAAGAACTCCTCTCCTCCCAGGTGATTAAACATTGTTTGCCCTTGGATCGCACGTGGAGGTCACTGTAGTGCTTGGGGCTAGAAGGCAACCTGAAAAACTTCTCTTTTGAATCTGAGGGATAATTGAGATGGTGGCTGAACTGATTGGGGGAGAGGGGAGGATGTTTCTGTCCAGGGATGAACCTCCATCAGAACACAAGAGGGAAAGCAGAAAGACTAGGCACAAAGCTGTTGGTGGAGTGGGACACCGATACAAGCCCCGTGCATCTAATATTACCAGTGCCTATGGGAGCCAGGTCAGAGTTTGGGCTGGAGGTGCCGATTAGGAGTTCCTTAGGCTATTAGTGGCCAGTATTTCTGTGCTTTTCTTCTCTCCAACTCCACCATCACCCCACCCCAAAAGAAGACAATATTGTTATAATGAGAAGGAGATTTTCTTTGAGCTGAGCAAAATGAATGGTTGCTGTATGATACTGCTGATTATTCATAAAGTGAGCAATTGTATTGGATTGCCTCTCTGACAGAGCGGCTCTGTCTTGATAACTTTGATACCTTCCTCTTGCAGTCAGAGCCTAGGAATTTTACTGCAAACAAGCGTGGAGAAATATTTTGAGTCATTAGCGTACCTGAAATAACTGCGGCTTTTTTTCTGGCTTTTTCTAGACTCAGGGCAGCATTGGACAGTTACTTTCAACTCAGCAGGACCCAAGAGCCAGCTACAGGACCAGTTCTGCGTCTGGAGCCCTCACACACTGCGAGGGACAACCAGGAACACAGCTCAGACGAAACAATAGAACTCAGCGACTCTGACAGCGGCGATTCTGCTGAGGAGGAGGAAGCGGTGGAGGCTGCGGCACCGCTGTTACCGTCAGCCCCGGAGATACCTCCGGCAGCTAGCTCGGAAGGTTTGTGCTGTATTTGAGCTTTGGAGAGACTGATTTGAGAAACTCATCGTGCTGTTTCAATACTCAGTGGGGAAATCCTTTCGAGCGACAGACGGTGCTAAGAGAT